GGGGTTTCACGTGTACGCCATGAACTGGACGAGCGATACTGTCTCGTACTCTGTTGATGACATTCTTATTGGAAGTGTTAACTATACCGCGATGCTTCCATCTCAAACGCTGACGACTGACAAGATGTTTTTGGTTTTGAATGTTGCAGTGGGTGGATATTATTTCGGACCTCAAGTTCCAACGAATACTACCATTTTGTGCACAGACTCCAAAAAGTGGACGCCCATGTTGGTGGATTATGCACGTATTTATAAATTGTCATGATGCCGCGAAAGTTTTTTCTCAAAAGAATAAATTAAATCGAGAGAAACCCCCGCCGCGTCCAACGGAATCCCACCTGGACACAACACCTGGTCAGGATTTAAGACCACAAAGCTTTCCACTTGTAATCACGCATTTGCGTTATCAAACCTTCTTCCCGCGGATATTTGCATCGATTTTAGGAACGACTCCATGGGTATAGTCGCACGTGAAGGAGGTTCTGAACCCACTGAGGTCCGTGACGGCAACGGTGACGGAGCTTTCTAGGTGCGTGAGGGAGACATCAGATCTGAGAGAGGCGGCGATGATTTCTGATAGTAGATTGATATTACAAGCTTTCGAAAGTTATACCATGGTTGTATAGTGTAGTGGTTATCACTCCGGTTTTTGATACCGGCAACTCCGGTTCGAATCCGGGTACGACCTTTTTATCGAGTTTTTTTTCCCTCACTTTCCATCCCTACCTCGTGAACGAGCTAGGAAAACTTGAGAATTTGGAATGCCTTCCTTCGAGCAATGTTCCTGTTGAGTTGACGGTGTTGGATCGGCTCTCTGAGTGCAGGTTGGCGCAAAATGATGGATAGGTGTGCTCATTTCAGTTTCGAGCAAGAGTTGAGAATGACAGTAATGTGGACTCGGAAGAAGAAGGCGAAGAGGAATGAACGAATGTGTGATTTCTCCACGATCGGCGAAGAGTTGGAAAAAATGAACCAAGCTTGGACAACCCTCTTTGACCAACCGCTGCTCACACTCGACACGCTCCGCAGCCAGGCATTCAATGGCGAAATCAATTCAATGCGCAGCCTGTATTGGAAGGTATCCGTTGGTGCTTGCACCCCGTGTTTCGAATGCTAACGCATCAAATTCTCAGCTGTTTCTCGAGTTCCTGCCGAACCTCAACACGGATACGTGGTCCGTTGTGTTGCACAAGGAGCGCAGCGGATATGACCAGTTGAAGCGCAAGTTTGTGTTTGATCCGGCTGCGGAAGCAGAGGAGGCGGATCTTGCCACAAATAATCCATTGAGTCTGGCTGAGGAGGTGAGGTTGGGGTTGGGGAAGGGGAACCCAGTCAACCATGATACTGATACTACTTTGATCGTACGTCTCAGAGCCCGTGGACGCGCCACTTTCAAGACTCCGAGATTCAAAAAACTATTCGCCAAGACGTTGAGAGAACGTTCGTTTTTGAATATTCCAGCTGGGGACGTTTCGAGTGAATCTGACATCTTTCCACGTGTTTCTTCTATCGAATGCTAGAATTCCTGACCACCCCTTCTTCCGCTCCCCAACGGTCCAAGAAACCATGCTCCACATTCTCTTCATTTGGTGCAAACTGAACCCATCCATTTCCTATCGACAAGGCATGCACGAGCTCCTCGCGCCGATCCTGTTTGTCGTGGATGCAGATAAACGGGATCCCAAAAATCCAACAGCCAAGCCAAGCGATCCCGTCGCGCAGCAAGTATTTGACCCGGATTTTGTCGAACACGACGCGTTTGTGCTATTTGATCGCGTCATGCGGACCGCGAAGCAGTGGTTTGAAGTCGGACAGGATTCCAAAGAGCCGTACACGAAGCAGAAAGTCGTGAAGGGAATGTTTGACGATCGAAAACGCGGGTCGATGGGGGATTTGAGTCACGTTCCACCCATCGTGACGCTCTGTATGCGTGTTCAAAACGATCTCGTTCAGCATCTTGATTACGAGTTGTATGCGCACTTGAACGAGTTGCAGATTGAGCCGCAGTTGTACGGTTTGCGGTGGGTTCGGCTGCTATTTGGACGCGAGTTTCCTTTCGATCAGTTGTTGGTCTTGTGGGATGGGATATTTGCTCAAGATGCGAATTTGGGGTTGGTGGAGTGGGTGTGTGCTGGAATGTTGTTGTTGTTGAGGGATCAATGTGAGTGTTTGTTTTGGTTTGGCGAAACCAATGATTTTGTTCTCATTTTTATATCCCATAGGCGTTCATGCGGATTATGTATCTGTTCTTCAGAAGCTCATGAAATATCCTTCCCTTGAATCTCTGGGAATCGACTCGGTCCCAGATTTCCTCCAGCACGTCAAGTCGTTGAAAGCCAACTACCACCGGCGTTCTCTTGAGAACTTGCAATCCCTCTCACCCTCAGTCACATCTAGCAATCTTCTACAAACCAACAAAGTCAAAAGCCCAACAAACATGCGTCCCGTGCCGCAAATCCCACTCCCAAACACTGCACTCACCGCCACCGCCGACTCCAACAACCTCCAACGCGTCACGCAAAAACTCACCGCCCTCAAAACACGTGACGCCCACCTTTCCAAGAAACTCACGCACTGCATGACACTCGTGTCCTCCCTTCTCAACGATTTCGATTCCGTTTCAGATCGCCGGAACGAGCTTGAAGGCGTGTTGGACGAGCTCGCAGTCGTTCAATCGGAGCTTGAGTTTAGTGCGGGGACTTCCATGTCGATTGAGACCAGTCGAGACAGCTTGGAGATTCACGAGAGAGACGCAAAGTACGCGGCGGCACAGTTGCATGCGGTGCCCAAGCACAAGGATCACAAAACGGGTCGCATTCCTGCAGCTGTTGCTCCCGTGAATCCGTTGGACGCGTGGATGTCGTCCCTGTCTTCCGCCGCGCAGGAAGTGCAGCTTTCGAAAACCGTGCAGGTGGCGTCGGATTTTATGTCGGGATTGTTTGAGGATAAGTCAACGTTGGTTTCTGGGTTCGTGAATCCGTTTTCTGCGGTGGGTTCGAGCAGTGGAAGGAGCGAGCCGCGTAGACAGGCGGGGGAAGAGTCTGTGGAATCGTCGCCGGCGGCACAGAGGTTGTCGGGGAGTCGGTATCCGCCGGATCATTGGAGAAACAATTCAAATCAGAGAGAGACTCAATAAGAATTATATCCTTCATTTTAAGCATTCCATTCCTTTCGCACGAATCACTCGTCAATCAAAAACTCTTGAATCTGTTCCCTCAGCTTGTCCACACCACTTCTCTGGTCTGAGCATGCGCTGTTCTTAGTGTTGGAACCACATGTTGCCAACCCGCCACAACAAGCGTCACCCCCAAAACTCTCCTTGTTCATCCCCAAAAACCATTCACCAGCGGGCAAGGAAACGCGTTCCGTCACTTTCGCATCTCTCCCAAAGTGTTGGCACCCATAACACAGCAGAGAATCCGCTGATCGGGAGTCGTTGTTTTCAACAACCTGTTCAATGGATGCCTTGTGGCCTTCGGTGACAGCACCGTCTGTAGATGTTGAGATGGCTGGAATCGAAGCAAGCGAGGAAGTGGTGTGTGACGCGCGCCAGTTTTGCGAATTTGGTTCGATTGGGCTGAAAGCGGAAGTCAATGAGGTTAGGATTGCCAATCAAAAACTAAATAGGAGGCGCCACAAGAATCCCATACTTTGCACAGAGTAAACAGGCACGCAACCCAGGCGCATCCGAGCCCGTTTGAATCTTGAACGCCGTGCGAGTAACCGTGCTGACAGATTGCGGGAAATCCTGCTGAAGCCCCCTCACGAACGATGTCGCGAGATCCTGAATCGTCATCTTGGCCACGCTCGCGCCTTCCTTGCCAACCTTCCCCGCCACCACGCCCCCAAACAGCCCTTCCGACATCCCGGATACCACAGGAAAATGTCTCACGTGTTCCAATTCAATCACTTTTTCGACTTCGGCAAACAAGAGATCGCGAATCGGCCGGAAAATAACCAAATCGGTGCCCGGCGGTTTGTATTCGAGGGAAATCTCGTTGGGAAGGTTGAACCCGCCGCCGAGAGCGGTTTGGGTCACAATTTGAGACGCAATCGTGGATGCGTTCATGCCTGTGAGAAGGGTTGTGCAGCCATGGGCGACAGCGAAGCGGCGGACGAGTCGCGTCGTGAGGGTGTGGAGAAGAGTTGTGGCAGTTGTTGGGTTCGATGGAGGAGTGGATTGGAAGGAGGAAAAGAGGGCGGTTGTCAGAGAAATCGGCGTTTCTGTTGAAGCTGTGCTTGGTGAGAGCTTGAGGCGGAGAATATCGGGGGCTGTGTGTGCGAAAGTCAATGGAAAGCGTGAAGATGTCAAACCCAAGCCGAATCTTCTCACATTCCAAATCAGCCACTAGAACACGATCCAAATTCCCCTCCATGTTTTCAAATGCAGATTCGAGTCTGATTCTGTGGAACTCAAAGTGTTTTGATTCCACCAGCGCGCGCATTTCGACCACTTCTGCTTCGACTTGGATTTTCTTCTCGGGACTCAACAGACAGGAATAGTCGACAACACACACTACCAGCGACGAAAAGCGCGGCGTGACATTCTGCTTCATAATGCGGTTCAGGAATGCATCGAGATAGTGAAGCAGCAGCGACGACGAGAGGCCCCCAGACCAGGCGAGACAGGCAGCCTCGCCCTTGGGGAGAACAGAGCCCTTGGCAATGTACGCCTTGCTGAAGCGCCCAAACATGTCCAAACACAAACACTTTCTGTAACCTATCGTCAGCGTGGCTTGCGCAAACGAGAACCCACCCGCAGTACGCTGATCCTCTCGTGTTGAATTCAGCCACAGCCACTTCACCATGCCCGTTGCTGAGACACTTTTCGCACGTTGCCATCTTGAAAGAAATAAAAAAAACTCAAACCCCAAACGACATGGGACTCCGAAACGACGACGAGAACCTTGTCATTGCCGCAAACAAGGCTTCAATCTCGGACACAATTGCAAAGCTGAACGTTCAAGTGCCGGATGGATTGCTGCTCGTTGCCTTCGAATACGCTAACCTTCCCGCCAAACTGTTTGACTTCTGCTTCAACCTCGTCAAGTCGAATCTGATCCATCTGTGAGCTGAATGCGCTGCTTGATTCAGTTGGTTTCTCATATCCTTCAGGTACATGGATGCACAGGACTCTGGTTGGTCAGATCGCGGCAAACAAAAGGAAATGAGAAACAAGAACGGCAGGTGTGTTGTCTTGATATCCACATTCTCTCGTTTCCTCACAGAAGTTTTGCAGATATATTCTTGCATTCAAGCGCCAGGCCCAAGTTTCGGACACGGATTCCAATTCTCCGGCAATCATTTCGCATCAAGATTACATTCCACACGAATCAGACGAGCCCGTTGGATATCTGTATTACGTTGCCTGTATGGAAGATAGCTACGATGACGTGGATGGAGGCATGAACGGCAGCGGAAAAGCTCCGGTGATTTATTGGTGAGTACACTGCCCAGGACGCGAATTTCACGAAACCCTCATCTTTATGTGTTACTATACCAGCATCGAACTCCAAACCACTCCAGAGGTGCGAAACACTGGCCTCGGGACCGTCCTGATGGAAATTCAAGAGCAAACAGGGAACCTCTTGTGTCTCCGCCGCTCCATGCTCACTGTTTTCAAAAAGAATGACGGCGCGATGCGTTTCTATAAACGCTTGGGATATTCGCCCGACAGAATCTCGCCGT